TAGAGACAGGGTTTCACCATGTTGTCCAGGATGGTCTCGATCTCTTGACTTCGTGATCTGCCCGCCTCAGCCTCCCAAAGTGCTAGGATTACAGGTGTGAGCCAATGTGCACGGCAAATAAGTTTTCACTACAGGAAAAAGGTTTATTTCCTCATGACATTGCATGACTCCTATTGCACTCACTTGGTGGACTTTTTCTTTTACTTTAGAGATAGTATCTCTGTCACCAGGATGAAGTGCACTTGCACAATCATAGCTCACTGTAGCCTCAACCTCCCAGGTACCAGTGATCCTTCCACCTCAGCCTCCTGAATAGCTGGAACTATAGGCATATGTTACCATGCTCAACTAGTACTTTTTGTTTTTCCTTGAGACCGACTCTGACTTTGTTAACCAGGCTAGAGTGCAGTGGTATGATCTCGGCTCACTGCAACCTCTGCTGCCTCGGTTCAAGCGATTCTCCTGCCTCAGCCTCCCCAGTAGCTGGGATTACAGGCACCTACCACTGAGCTTGGCTAATTTTTGTATTTTTAGTAGAGGCGGGTTTCACCATCTTGGTCAGGATGGTCTCGATCTCTTGACCTCGTGATCCACCCGCCTCGGCCTCCCAAAGTGCTGGGATTACAGGCTTGAGCCACCACGCCCGGTCCATTTTTTTTTCTTTGAGACAGTCTTGCTTTGTTACCCAGGCTGGAGTGCAATGACGTAATCTCAGCTCACTGCAACCTCCAATTCCTGGGTTCAAGCCATTCTCCTGCCTCAGCATCCCAAGTAGCTGCAATTACAGGTGCCCACCACCATGCCCAGCTAATTTTTGTATTTTTAGTAGAGAAAGGGTTTCATCATGTTGGCCAGGCTGGTCTCGAACTCCTGACCTCAGGTGATCCACCTGCCTCGGCCTCACAAAGTGCTGGGAATACAGGCATGAGCCTGTATACCCAGCCCCCAGCACCATTTATTGAAGACTGTGCTTGTAAATGTTGAGGACAATATTAACAAATCTAAACATAACTTGGTGTGTGCTATATTTTTGATATGACAAGACAATTACAAAGAAGTAAAGAAGAGCACACATTTGACCTATTAATTAGTACATTCCTATAGTACGTCTGAAACTTTTTAAAAAATTAATTAATTTATTTCTTTGAGATGGAGTCTTGGTCTGTTATACAGGCTGAAGTGCAGAGGTGCAATCTTGGCTCACTGCAACCCATGCCTCCCAGGTTCAAGTGATTCTCCTGCCTCAGCCTCCCAAGTCGTTGAGAATACAGGTGTGAGCCACCATGCCCAGCTAATTTTTTATATTTTTAGTAGAGATGGTATTTCACCATGTTGGCCATGCTGGTCTCAAACCCCTGACCTCAAGTGAGCCACCCACCTTGGTCTCCCAAAGTGCTGGGATTACAGGAGCTAGTAGCCACAATGCCCAACCCTATGTGCAAAACTTAATGTTGATTACTGTGATGCTAATACATTTAAGGTATATTTTATCTTTTTAGGATCCTAAATATTATTTGGGGAAGAAAGCCACCATACCAGCCAAGTTAACTAATTTAAAACATGTATGAAGCCAGACCTAATAAGCCACTTAGACAATATACACTATGGAAATTTGTAAGAGGCAGTTATCATGGCCAGCTGAGACAGCAGTTTTCATTTGTTGGCCTTAACGTTAATCCAGCAATGTAAATAATTTTTGAAAGAACAAAAGTATAATATTAAGAAAAAAAGGACCAATTGATATACAAAGTCCCTCTTCTAGAATGTTCCAAGTATCTTCTGTTATTCTAACATTTTTTTCATCAAAAGACTAATGTCAAATTTATAAAGCATATGCAACTAGTATAATAAATTTGTTTCCACAGTTTATAAAAGAGCAACAGGAAACAAGACAATTTTTCCTGTCTTTCATATTCAACAAATTCAACGCTATGGTATTTCCTTTATAATTCTTTTAAAGCAAAACATAATTGCTAACACTTACTGTGTTTCAAAACTCTGCTGCTTCTGAGGGTATGGTATTCACGCTAATTTTAGTGAGTTAAGATTTGTAAATGATATGTTCGATAAGCTTTGATTTCCTAAGAAATTGCTAGTGGGAAAAAAAATTACAGGAACATAACAAATCCAAATAAGTTAAAAAATAACTCAAATGGCAACAGAAGTCTTTAACCTCAATAATGGATTATTCCTCAATAATGGATACCTGAATAAATTTGGGCATACAGCAAAAAAGAAAAAAAATTGTGTGGATTAGAATCCATCCACCACTGAATACGCTGTCTAAAAAATTCTGTAAAATGAACTTAAGAAAACCACAAAAAGAGTAACTGGAACAACTGAAAGTAAAATTGCCATATACAATCATACAGCCTGATACTTTAACTATAATAAGGTTTGGTTTATATTAAGAAATATCCGACCTTACTTTAGTTAGCATATAATAACTCAGAAATGAAATGAGTCCTCTAAGAACACAGTATTTTGTTGTTGTTGAGATGGAGTCTCGCTCTGTTGCCCAGGCTGGAGGGCAGTGGTGGGTCTCGGCTCACTACAACCCCTACCTCCTGGGTTCAAGTGATTATAAGTCCACGCCACCATGGCTGGCTAATTTGTGTATTTTTAGTAGAGGTGGGGTTTCACCATGTTGACCAGGCTGGTCTCAAACTCCTGGCCTCCAGTGATCTACCTGCCTTGGCCACTCAAAGTGCTGAGATTACAGGGATAAGCCACCATACCTGGCCAGAACACAGAATTTTAATCTAAAAGTAGACATGTGCTCCCTTCAGCAGCACAGATAATGAAAAATTGGAACGATACAGAGAACATTAGTATGGCCCCTGCTCAAGGATGATACGCAAACTCATGAAGCGTACGATAAAGAAAAAAAAAAGTAAGACATATGACATTTACCAATCTAATATTTATATATATTTTATATAACTCTCAGATAAGTTCTAAGAGTTTATCGGGTATAGATATACTGGAAGAAGGTCAGGCATGATGGCTCATGTCTATAATCTCAGCACTTTGGGAGGCTGAGGGGGATGGATCACTTGAGGTCAGGAGTTCGAGACCAGCCCGGCCAGCATGGTGAAACCCCATCTCTACTAAAAATACAAAACAATTAGCCGGGTGTGGCGGCGCATGTCTGTAGTCCCAGCTACTTGGGAGGCTGAGGCAGGAGAATGGCTTGAACCTGGGAGGTGGAGGTTGCAGTGAGTCAAGATCACACCACTGCACTCCAGCCTGGGCAACACAGCAAGACTCCATCTCAAAGAAAGAAAAAGAAAAGAAATACTAGAACAAATTTTATAATGTAATATATAGTTGATCCTTGAACAACATGGATCTGAACTGAGCCAGAGCAAGTTATTAAGTTTTTGGGAAGTCAGAAGTTATATGTGGATTTCCTACTGCACAGGGGGGTTGGCACCCCTAAACCACACATTGTTCAAGGCTCAACTTCCATCATCTGTACTCTTTTTCCCTGCTGCAGTCTACTTGGTCTCAGTTGCTTTGTGATACATATGGTCCATGCCTTTCTTCTCAAGGTCATTCATGAATAGGAGATGCTCTAAAAGGTTTCTTTTGCCTTGGAAGTAGGTAGCTGGTTGCTTACTGAATCATTTACTGATAAGGAATATGTTTAGGTTCCATTTCAATAAAGTACAACACACTATCAAGATGATGAGGTTAGTTTTAAACAAGTATGAAACTGCATATCTTACCCACATGCAGGCTTCAATCCTAACTTTCGAGATGATACTCCACAAAGAAATGGTTCCTTCAGGGCCCTCTTCATCTGGACAAATAATCTGATCAGGATAGGGTGGTTCAGGGAAATTAACTGAATTGCATTCATAAGCAGCTAATGTAACTGAGGCTATATGTGGACCCTATAAAACAAATACAAGAAACTTCAGATGAGAACTATTAAAAGATTATCAATACACATGCTATTTTAATAGTATATTAATTACTGTATTTTATAAGAAAAATCTTAAAGAACAAAGTAATTCTAAATAATTTCAAGATGCAGTTAGCAATATGAAGAAAATAATCCTTTCCAAAATCTCTTCCTGGTTGACTAAAAAAAAAAAATCAGATTTATTGAGGTATAATTTTACACATAATAAATCACTTGTTTGAGGTCTACATTTCAATTAGCTTTGACAAATACATTCAGTCATATGACAACACCAATCAAGATACAGAATATTTCTATCACTGCAAAAATGATCCCTTGGTCAGGAATGGCAGCTCATGCCTGTAATCCCAGCACTTTGGGAGGCTGAGGCAGGAGGACTGCTTGAAGCCAGGAGTTCAAGACCAGCCTGGGCTACAAAGCAAGACGTCATCTCTACAAAAAATTTAAAAATTAGTCATGCACTGTGACATGTGCCTGTAGTTCCAGCTACTCAGGAGGTTGAGGCAGAAGGATCGCTTGAGCCTAGGTGTTGGAGGCTGTAGTGAGCTGTGATTGTGCCACTGCACTCCAGTCTGGAAAATGGAACAAGACCCCGTTCCTTACCAAAAAAAAAAAAAAAATCCCTTGGGTTCCTCTGTGGCCAATTCCCTCCCTCAAGTTCTAGTCCCTGGCAACCACTGATCTAATTACTTGCTTGACTTTTATTTATCTGTTTCTCATTTGTTAGATTATTATTCCTTTTATTAAAAAAAACTTCCTGAGCCACTGTTCTTTTAGACACAATTTGAGAATATCACTTTATGTCCTTACTTAGAAACAGCTGGTGAAGTACCACCTCACATAACCTTTCACAATGAGATTGTAAGGCAAAAATATAACTGAGACACCAGTATCAATGAGTTTTACACAACGGTTCCTAACACCACAAGAAGAGGTGTCTGCATACTAGGGATTTGGTTGAAATGTAGGTTCCTGGGTCCCTTAAGCATAGGTTGACAGATGCTGTTTAGCATACAGTTACTAGTAGCCATTAGCTATATGAAGAGAAATACTTTATTTGTAGAATAAAATTACACACGAGATTTTACTACTAACTATATTGTGCATTTCTGAATATTTCTGTATCTGAAGGTTTCTATTAAAGATTTCTCCAGGCTGGGCATGGTGGCTCACGCCTGTAATCCAAGCACTTTGGAGGCCAAGGCGGGCGGATCACCTGAGGTCGGAAGTTCAAGACGAGCCTGATTAACATGGTGAAACCCCGTCTTTATTAAAAAAAAAAAAAAAAAAAAAAAAAAAAAAATATATATTAAAAAAAAAAAAAAAAAAAAAAAAAAATTTCTCCAGTAGTTTTTCATAAATGAGTTAGTCCCAAAGAAAAGTAAGTGGGCTCTGTATATAAGAAAGTATTTTGAGAAAACATGATGAAAGAATTTGTGGTTCAAAGTACATAAAATCTAGTGATAAAAATAAAATGAAGACATTCTACTATCAAGATAAAATTTTGTTTCATGTTAATATGAAATACAAAATTGTTCACACATCTGTGATATTTATCTCTAAACAGAATAGGCATTTTCCGTTAATAACTAAAAAATGAAATCCTTAGCAATGAATCAGTTAATTATTAGTTTTTTCTGGATCAAAAAAATCTATGTGAAATTTTAGTCTTTCTTCCTCTTTTGGGGAACTTTTAATTCTTGGAAATGAGGAAATATTAAAGTTTGAAAATATAGAAGATTTTGAAGAGAATGCTTTGATTACTTAGGTTTTTGAAAACGTATGATTAGGCCGGGCGCGGTGGCTCAAGCCTGTAATCCCAGCACTTTGGGAGGCCGAGGCGGGTGGATCACGAGGTCAAGAGATCGAGACCATCCTGGTCAACAT